TACTTTTACTCTGTTACATTTCACCAGTGACAATGGGCAATCATACAGTTAAACAGCAAATTCTACCATCTACCAGGCCCCTGTTGAGTTACCCACAGAGCCTACTTCAGTCTGAGTAATGGGTGATTTTGTCAGAGGCAGTGTCAGAGCTGCCCATCACTAGCACTGGGTATCATTAAGAAGTTGCCGATACGATACATCCCTGGATACATAGGCCACGATACGATAAATATCTCGATACAGTGCACTTTCAATTTGATATAATATATTTCAAATTGATTTGATGCGATTTAATAAAAAATAAAGGCTAAATAATGGCTGTGATACTAAAAGTCTTTGTTAAACCACTTCTTGTGCAATGTGAAAATGAAACACGCCCATTTTCATCATCAAAATAAAAAAATGTCAAGAAAAATGTCAAATGTGTTGCATAAATGAGTTTTCTTCCAGTAAAGTAGCAACAAAACTGTAGCACTGCAACAAAAAAAATATATATTCTTGGCAATATAGCGATAGAGCAGCCCACGATATTGATCTTGTATCATCACATTAAACGATACGATATAGTGATATTTCGATATTTTTACCCACCCCTACCCATCACCATGTCATTTGTTTTTATGGTAATCCTGAATGAAGAAAAGGATACACTGAGAAAAGCCAGCCCACCCTGAGCAAACTACTGCTTGTTTGAAGATGGTTTATTGAGGCAGTACGGTAGAATGCTATTGTCAACATTAAACAATAGCAAATAATCGTACTTTCTTATCTCTGTAATCCCTCAGTTGTCCCGAAGGTTGTATAGTGGCATAAACTACTCCATGTGCTCTTATACTTGTTCTGACACAGCTCAAGATCATTCTAAAGCTACTCAGGAAAGATTAAGTTCTATCCTCCATTTTCTTAGTACTGATACTTGTTCTAATGAGTATCTAATTCCACTTTTCTGGTATAAAGATGTTTCTGGTAAGAGCTCTCACTGTCCTTGTTAGCTGAGCCTGAGAGGTATAATACTCCCTAAAACAGAACCATAGCCAGACTGCATTGCAAAAATAAAATGCACAACATTGTGACAATTAGGGCTGGGTATCATTAAGAAGTTGCAGATACAATACATACCTTGATACATAGGCCACGATACGATACATATCTTGATACAGTGAGCTTTTGGTTCGATACGATATGTTTAAAATCATTTTGATAGGTTTCAATAAAAAAATAAAGGCTAAATCATGGCTGTGATACTAAAAGTCTTTGTTAAACCACTTATTGTGCAAAGTGAACATGAAACACACCAATTTTAATCATCAAAAGTGTGAAAATGTGAAATGTGTCACATAAACATGTTTCCTTCCTCTGAAAAGCAACTAAACTGTAGCACTATAACAAAATAATTTAGTAAAATATACCAAAAATACTCTTGGTGATATACCGATACAGCAGCTCATGATATCAATACTGTATCATCACATTAAATGATATATTGATATTTCGATGTTTTTGCACACCTCTAATGAGAATGTGTTAAGGATTTATATCTCCAGGTGTTGGGATCTGTACTGATGATTAATAAACATCTCCTGCTCTGGAACTCCAGCGTCATGCTTCATCTCGAACAGTATTTTTGATTTTGGACATTTGATTTTACTTTTGACATCTCTCTACTTTATACCCATATCCATGAGTATCTGAGTGATTAAAAAAAAAGGACTGTTACCATATCAATGAACTACTCTTTTTAAACTTGAAACTGAAACCTATGAATTCATCTCTAGGCACCAATACATGTAATTTTAAAGAACAGAAAAGCAATGAAGAGCATAACAAATAAGACATTGTTTGAAATGTTCCATATATGAGTCATGGGCATATCAGGTCTATATGACTATAAAAAATATTTTCTGGAGCAGCTAATTGGCCCCTGGGGTTCTGTCCTTTTGTAATACCAAGAACTGCTTAATATGACCACAGCAGTGTAATGCAAACTACAAAATATGTCTTTACTTAGAAGGGATAGAGCAATTCACAGGTTTCAGGCAAACCTCTTTCCCGATTTGAAGGATTTTCAAAACATATAGATTTGTGTTATAGATATTTTCCATGCCAAGTCCTTCAAATCAGGAGGGAATCCTTATGTTTTTAAATAGAATTACTGTATATAGGCCAGGTCAGTCCAAAAGACATGTTAATAAAAGGCCTACATAAAACTGCACTGCTATTGTCGTCTATAACAACACAAAAACCACATCACGTATCAGGTGGAGTTTACAGTCTACAGGGTCAGCAGGTTTTGTCATGTACAAAAAAAGCAGTAGTGGTAGTGGTAATACTAGTAGTAGTAGCAGTAGTGATATCGGTAACAGTAGTAGCAGCAGTGGAGCAGAAGAGCAGTAGTAGTGGTAGCTGTATAGTAGTAGTAGTAGTATTGTAATAGTAGTAGTCCTACTCCTTCTACTACTACTACCTACTAACTAATCCTACTGTATTGTCAATAGGAGTAGTAGCAGCAGCAGTAGTAGTAGTAGTGGTAGTAGTATAGTAGTAGTAGTAGTAGCAGTAGTAGTAGTAGCAGTAGCAGCAGTTGTAGCAGTTGTAGTAGTTGTAGTAGTAGTAGCAGCAGTAGGAGTAGTACTAGTAGCAGTAGCAGCAGCAGCAGCAGTAGTAGTAGTAGTAGTAGTAGTAGTAGTAGTAGTAGTAGTAGTAGTAGTAGTAGTAGTAGTAGCAGCAGCAGCAGTAGCAGCAGTAGTAGTAATAGTAGAAGTAGAAGTAGTAGTCGTCGTAGCAGTAGCAGCAGCAGCAGCAGCAGTAGTAGTAATAGTAGTAGTAGCAGTCATAGCAGTATCAGCAGCAGCAGTAGTAATAGTAGCCTAGTAGTAATAGTAGTAGTAGCAGTAGTAGTAGTAGTAGTAGTAGACTATATTACCTAGACTATATTACTTACCCCTCACAGCCAGCAGACACTGGGACTCTGGAAGTGTTGCCTCCACTTGAAGCTATTCGCATGTGGATGGGAAACATTCCCCCAATCACCACCTTCTTCTTGATGTCCTTGTATCCGTTGAGGTTGAACTTGGCCTTCAGGTTACAGGTGGCCTCAGCTGAAACAGACAGCGGGAAGTAGAAAAGCAGACAAAATGGAAGAATGCAGAGCCAGATTTTCATGTTGAGTGAACGCTGCGATCCTGGATGTGGCAGGGAGCGTGAAAAACATGCAAGTGTGACAGGTGTCTACAGGTACCACCATCTCTGGGGAAATACCTGAAAGACAGACAGAGTAAACAACCAATACACAAAGAAGTAGGTTAAAATTGTATTACTCTGTCAATATTTTACAAACATAAATATTTGAAGGCACACATGAATAATATATGTTAGGAAAATTAATTTATATGCCCATTTATGTGCCATGCAGTTTTCTGTTCTGTTATCTACTATATGTTATTTCCTCATCACAAATATACCTGGAGTTGTGTTTTGTTTCATTCACACATGTTTAACACACAATTTACACACAATTAACACACATTTATCACAGAAAATACTTTGTTCCACTTTGTTATGTCATGCGGCAATACAAGAATCGCTCCACTGTCTTTTAAACTCAACATACACCTTGATTAGTATCATTTGGATAATTTCAGTCCAGGAATTGCCAATCTCTACTGAACTAAAGGTAAAAGGGGGCGGGATTAAATACATTTTCTTCTTCCCACTCCTTTTTGGGCAATTTTTGTTGTTGTTGTTGTGGTTATTTTAATTTCTATTATGATTTCACTTATGTTATATGTTCCGTTGTATAAGAATGTAAATCTTAACTTGTCCAAGCCTACCACTTTATGACATCATAAGGTGGAACAAAGCATTTTGAGCTTTGGAGATCTAGACAAACTAATAATAACAGCTTACGCAAACATGTGTGAATGAAACAAAACACAACTCCAGGTTTGTTTTTGATGAGATAACAACAAGATCCCAAAATGATTAAAAGCTCACGAGTTAATTTTGCATATAGGACCTTCAAAACCACATTATGTAACCTTTTTTTTCCATTTTGGTTGTATTTATTGTACAGACAAAAGCAGAAAAACATGTGTCCTTAATGTGAGACAGCTTACATTTCCATAAACCTCTCGGGGGAGGGTCTTCTTCTGCTTATAGCCAAAGGAACAACATTTTTAAGGAAACAATCACAGTATATTTAAAATTCTAGCTCCATGAAGAATGTTCCAAAGTATGGTTTTAACCTTTTTCCATAACATCCTGCAGAATGTCACACACTGTACCTTCTAAGAAATCTGTGTCAAAATCATACATTTCATTATATTTTACATTTGATCTATTTTTCCCGTGTACGTTTATTGAGGTGCCACAGGCTATAGATGCTAATTGGCAGTTGCGTGTGTTGACTTGCACAGCCTTGACACAACATAGTGGCATTGCTACTGTTCCAAAAAGGCTGAGATCCCATGGGTGCGGGTCTGTAGCTTGTTGATGGGCGACTCAACTTGTCTCGTCATGTTTGATAGACCCCTGGGAGACGAATGTAAAGTACACCTGAGCCTCTCTTTAGCACAATTTATTATTATGTAAGATTAAAGTTAAGAGCTACAGTAATGCATTCACCTGCTGCTGAAGAAGCAATAGTAAAGTTAGTTTGTACTGAAATGCATTTTACAAATCCAACTGCAGATTCTATAAAAGTAAAACTTTTAAAGACAACATAACACTTTCACTCAAATAACATATGTAACTTTGGGACTTGATTTTCTCTTCTTTTCCAACAGCCTTCAGTCTGTGACACCTGCTCAAACATGCTTTGCTTCAGTTCTTCTCTATTTTTTGAGGTAAATGCATTTCTTCTATTAAGTCCATTGATAAAGGTAATCATATCTATATTGTCATAAAATAATGTGTATTTGGGTAAATCTAAAATAGTATACAAGCTATATTTGAATAACTTATTTTGATATTTAAAAATGTATGCAATAAAATGCCAATGATACGTTTCAACATGGAGATCTTTATTAAAGCTCGGTTTTTTATTGTACAAATGTCACTGTAGTTGAAACTGCATGCAGTGGCTTGGTTTGAGGCACGTTACTAAAGAGAACAAATTTGAAAAAACACATTAATTGCATAACTTAATCTTATCAATATTGCAGTTAAATTACTACAAAAAATGTAGGTAATTGACAAGCCAATGAGTTCAATGAAGATCGCAGAATACACAAATAAGGCTGAACAAAAGGAAAACACTATAAATAGCAGTTAAGACATGTCAGAAAGTAATTCTTTTTGAATTTACCAGTATCTCTATTAAAAGGTATGTATATAATATGGGATGACAGGCACAAATCTATTGTGATGGAATGAGATAACATGTATAATTGTACAAGTATTTGAGCTCGGTAAAACCTGAGCACTCACAGAGGGCTGAAGGATGAGTGGTAGCCAAGATGTGCATTGTATCATCTACAACAGAAACATGGAGCTGTAATGCCTTTGAGAAACACAGTGAACTTGTGTTGAAGCAACAAACTGCCACGTCAACCTGACCACTACCCAAGACCATCTGAACAACTCTGTTAGGGACCTGGTTTTGAAGCAAAGGGTTAAATGGTGTGCAAAAGTCCCTCTGCACTGAAAAGAGCAGCCAACAAAAAGACTTATCTTCCACACAATGCTGTTAAAGAATTGAAATGTAATTATTTGTCATTGTTATGTCCTCGTGAAAGATTGCAGCATAAAGAGAAAGATGTTGGGAGAACCTCTGGGAAAGTTAGACCACAGAATTCATAAAGAAAATATGAGTAGGCACGTCTAAAATGGAGCCATCATATTGACTTTTGGTGATATGCACCTGGGCCTCACGTGACTGCAGGCCAATCTTCACCACTGTTCAGTTCAAGTTGGCGAGGAGTACACAGAGTTCAGTAACGTATAACATATTCTGTTGGCAAAAATTAGCCTCATGAAAATTGGTCGCATGGGTTTTCTGTGCAGGTTACTTACTCTGGACAGAAAATATACAGGCAGAAAGGGATCGTCTCAGGCTGAGAACATTGTCATATACTCCCAAAACAAAAAAAAACAAAGAATGACACCTTGCTGTTGTTCCATTTTAAAAATCATTAAACTGTATATAACTAGCTTTTATATATCACACATCTCACAATCTGAGGCACAACATCAAAGTCCACTCTCAGGAACCTCCACAGTCACAGCATGAGTTGCTTGCTTTTTCATTAAATTACCATAAAAGAAGCAGCAGTTTCAGAGAAATTCTTCATTGTCATACATTAACCAAAATGACAACTATCGATTACTAACATTAGTCAATTCTTATTGGCAAAACATTAAGACCCAAAAGATGTGATGTGAGTGGAGTAGACACGTCTTTGTCACAGTACAGTCTGCCTTCCATGGGAATGTGTTGGAGTGGACAGAGGAAGGACAGGAGAGAAGGGCGAGCCCTCTCTGAGATCAGCTGAGTGTTTGTGCGTTGTGTGTGTGTAGTTGTGTATAGTTGTGTGTAGGTGTGTGTCCTCCCGTCAACATACACACTATTCCCACTCTGTAGTGCCAGGAGGTTTGGAGGTCAGGTCATACATCACTCTGGAGATGCCTGGGATCTTTTTGATTTCATTCACCATTTTCAAAACCACCTGAAAAAAATGAAGACACATGAAATAATAGACCACAATAACAAACACTGTATCTGTTGTGCATTCGCATGGTACCTCCTCTGGGATATGGCTGCCTGGCATGGCAGGGATTCCTGTCATGAAGTCGCTGGTGATAAAAGTGCGAACCACCACAGAGCGCCGGCACGAGGGCTGCTTCTGCAGCGGGTCACGGTCAAAGTGCAGCGGGACCAAGATCACCGGCATCTGGCTGATTTTACTGGAGTAACCTGGAAAAGGGAAAAACTAGGGAATGACTACTGTTTTTATTTATTCAAAGTTTTATTTATTTTAACATAATTATGTAAGTTTTATGAAATATCTTGTGCAGCACTTTGGGCCAGTGATGGCTGTTTGCAATTTCGCTTTATAAATAAACTTGACTTTGACCACACTTACCAGACTCTCTGAGGATAGAGTGAGCTACAAAGTCAGCCTGTCTGAGCGTGCTCAAAACGCCTGTGGTCAGGAAGGTGGGAGTAATGTCTGTTGGAGGCTCCTTTACAGGGGACCCAAAAATATACACCACTCTGGACAGAAAAGACAAAGTGTACCATGGGCTATCTTCTCACCAACAGTTAAAGGAAACTTGAACGACATCTATACCTGTTGATGCTATGGCACATGCGCGGGATCAGTCTGGCCAAGAACATGAGAGATTCCCAGTGTGGGGATTCTTTACTTGTGACGCCACATACATAACTGTACGATCTGCAGTCGCCCTGGATGAGGAACAAGTCATAGGTTAGAATCTTTTTCAAGTACCGGAGCAGGTTTAACTTTCAAGCTCTGCTTTGCCTTTCACAGCTTCAGTCTCAGAAGATATTTTCTGTCGACTGCCTGACTCACAATTTGAGGTTAAGACCAAATTTAAACGTCTGGAAAAGACAGGAAGCAACGGGACACACCCACTGTACACTCACTCTCAGGCACCAGTTTTTGGGTGAGAATAATAAGTGAGCATACTATTGTGACTTCAGCTCCAACAGCTATTCATTCAGGCTCAAGAGAAAGCAAGAGTTACATTGACATGCTTGAATTTGTGGGTGGAGTTTGTTGTTGTAGTTTGTGGTTAACCACAATAGCAATTTCACCAGAGAAGACGAAAACACTGGTCTGTACTATTTTAAACCCACACTCTTAAAAGGGCCAAATTTATGTGATTTTCTGATCTACATTATAATCCAAAACATATTTGAAGTTTTGTTTTGTTTCATTTACACATTTAACACACAAATCCTGCATATTTAGGCCAAGTCCTTCTCTTAAAAAAACTGATGTCAGGTGGTAATACAGGAAAAGCTCCACTGAGATTTTAAACACCATACACTTTCACTAGAATAATTTTGATAATTTTAGTCCTGGAATTTCCCATCTCTATCGAAGGTAAAAAGGTAAAGGTAGTCATTAACTTGAAAGCTACCGCTTCATAACATCACAAGGTGGAACAGAGGATTTTGAGCTTTGGAGATGGAGGATAACTCAAACATGTGTGAATGAAACAAAACAACAACTCAACGTATTTTTTAATGAAGTAACAACATTCTAACATGGCTAAAAGCTCACAGCAGTCAATTTAGCATAATATACCTTTAAAGTAAGTCAGAATTTGGAAGTGAACAAATCTTGTTATTTTACGGCACGCATTTAGCAGGTAAAAAGCAAACATTACCTGGACACCAACAGTTTTGATGGGCAAAAGGAAGGCATTGAGTGAATGAAGGCTGGTGATCTGCATTAGTTTCTCCTCTTCTTCATCTGATATGCACGACTTAACTCTCTGAAGCAAGGCATGAGGCTAGAGCAGACAGACAAGGATTTTAATATGTACACCCTGGACAATGGCTATTAAAATATATCCATATTGTAAGAAAAACAGTTTAGAAAAAAACTGGCAGCAATTTTTTTGTGATATAACACTGTAGAAATACTTACCTTTTTGACACTGGCAGAGAAGTCTGTGATAATTTTGAGAATATTGTTTGTCTCTGCAAAGTCTTTACAGATGTAAGGCTCCTCTGCGCAGATCACTCGTATTGACAATCCAGGACCTGTAGACAGGACAAATTCAACGACAGCCAAAACAGCCAGTGGAGGTGCCAACATGTCAGCTGCTTAAACAGTAGCAGGCAATGTTCACAATTCACACGGTTGCGTTACACAGCACAGGTGTATATGACTGCTTACCAGGGAAAGGGTGGCGTGAGACTATTTCCTCTGGCAGGCCAAGCTCTCTTCCCAAAGCTCTGACCTCATCTTTGTGGAAATCTTTAAGTGGTTCAATTACTTTTCCCTGATCATAAAATAAACAAAGAACAAAAACTGAACAGATCTGCCAGCTGAGTTCTGAAGTATTATAAAAAATGACCATTTCAAATATCAAGTTGTGATGCAGGGTTGCCTTACCTCATCTCTGAGTTTTCTGACTAGCTCTGTGTCATTGTGGTGTGTTTTGATGACTTCTGCCTTGCCACTGGCCAGATGAGACGCACTCTCAATCAGGTCAGGTCTTAAAGTGCCCTGAGCCAGGAAGACCTCATCTGGCTTCAAATTCATCTCACCTATAACCTCATTTGCCACCTACAGATTAAAAAAAAAATTATGAAATGAGTAATAAAATAATATGAGTTTTATTTAAAAACAATACGTTTGCCAATGCAATACCTTTACAAATGTATCTCCTATGATTTTTCTTTTCTCCTCTGGGTTCGTGGTCATATTTAATGTCTTGCTTATCCTCTTCCTTGGCGTTCTGTCCTCTTCTGAGATTGGAAGGGTGGTTGTTCCATTGTAGAAGGTATGTGCTGCATTCACCACTGCAAAACAGTCACAATTATAATCATTGTAAATTCCACATTTCATCCCATTATCATCCCTTTCAATTCATTACCTCTGAGTTTAATTCCAAGTTTTGTAAGGGCCTCTTCCACACTTTGACTTTCTCTCTTTCTCATAAAACCATTGTCAATGTGAACAGCTATAACCTGTTCTTGGTCCAGGGCTTTGTTTAAAAGGGCTGTGCACACTGTAGAGTCAACCCCTCCACTGAGAAGCACCTGGAGATAAAAGCAAACAAAACTTAACTTAATAGGCATCATTAAACCCAACTCAAAGTCAACAGTAATTACTTACCAGAACTTTTGATGTGCCCACTTTTTCCCTGATCTCATTGATGCAGTCCTGCTGACGGTTTAACACTGTAAAGTTATTTGTGCATCCTGCAATGTCAAACAGGAAGTTTCTCAACATAACCATGCCTTGCTCTGTCAAATCTACTTCTGGATGAAACTGTGTCCCATAAAGTTTCTTCTGTTCGTTAGCAATACCTGAGAGGAAGAGCAGGATGGATCCAAAATTATGACAGATTAAAGAGGAAAACATTATGCATATAAATGTTCTTTGTCGCACCAGCAATTATGTTTCCAGACTGGGCGACCACTTTGAAGCCATCTGCCACTTTATCCACACTGTCCCCATGTGTGAGGAGAACAAGTTCCTCCTTCTTAAGGCCTCTGATGGACAAATACACGTGTTCAGAAAATATCCAGTGAAAAGTGATAATGACTACCATAAAACACCTATATATATTTTTAAATGGGACATAATTATATTTTTATGTTATTTTATGTGAAGAACGCAAAAGAAACATGTGACACTCGCAATATTACCTAAAAAGAGAGCAGGTATTATCCAAGCCAATACTGAACACGCCATCCTCGCGCACACTTTTTTTATGTACTGAGCCACCAAAGACTTTATTCAGCATCTGTAATAATAAAACACATACATGCAGTGAAAAGGTAATCTAGATATGAGGGAAAGTTATTTTACATCTATCCAACAGACGTTAATTGACAAACGGTAACAAAGACAGAAAGAATCATTTGAATGTACCTGCATCCCATAACAAATTCCTAAGACAGGCTTTCCGATGGTGAATATGGCAGGATCAAACCAGGGGGCATCTTCTGCATAAACAGAGGCTGGGCCTCCTGATATTATAATAGCTCTAGAAGGGAAAAGACAGAAATTCTAAAATTCAGCACAAGATCAAGATAATAAACATGTAAAGATATTCATCACCTATAGCCTTGCTCTCGCAGGGCAAAGGCTGGAGTCTCTAAGGGGAGGATCTCTGAGCGCACACACAGCTCTCGCACCCTTCGGTCAATGACTTTTCCATACTGGGCCCCTGCATCCAGGATCGCAACTGCCCCCTCATACGACCCATTCTGCTCTGCAGGGCTGATCTCCAGCTGTAGAAAAATAAGCCAGTATCAGTCAGTAGTGTGTTCCATTAACCATGTGATGCAGTCTTTACAATCATGCAACCCGAAAACTAGAGTGAAAATTAGGCAATAACGCTAACACAATTATAGTCATGTGAGCATCACTGCAAATCGTGCAGTCACTAAGTAAATTCACATGAACCCCACAGGTTTCAATCAAAGCTAATCAAATCTAAACGCGCGCGGACATAACTTTAACAACTTAAATATTGGTTTGAAAGTTGCAGAGAAAAAAAACAATGATTAAGCTGTGAATTGGTTGTAAAAGTGGAAACAAGAGCCCACGTGGATAGTGCATGGAAAACTTCCGCCGTGAAACTTCTCCTGAAAACACCTGGACAGAGCCAGGCATCTGTCCTAATTCTGTAACAAAATCAGTCTACAGGAGGGAATAACCCCGCGGATCCTACACTGAACATTAAAACTACGAAAGAAACAAACACTACGAAGAAGAGGTTAGAAATGTCTCTCATGTCAGCGGGTTTGATGGATTAACAGTGATATATACTCACATTCATCAACTCAAATAAAAGTGACATTGGCGCGAGTCAAGTGTCCGTTACACACCCCATAGTTTATCACATCACACGCCTGCTTTTTTATTTCACTTTAGATCAGTGTTACAGGCATTGCTGCGGGTCTTTTTTTTAGTTTTGACAGCCCGGTCAAATCTAGCTAGCGTTACGCATTTAAAGCAGCGCATTAGCATGCTAGCTCAGAGGTAAACAGCAGGGATGAGTAGTACGCAGCGCTAGCCTGTTAGCACCACGTATGTAGCCGAGCTAAGCTAAACCCACGCGGTGGGGTAAAGGGGAAAGGGTGGTATTGCCAGTCCCCGTGAGATGAACACAACCGAGTGGACTAAGACCAACGGACAACACTGTTCTGTTCACTTTAACATAACTAAAATACCAGCAGATTTTAGTGTCTTTATGCAAACAGCATGTTAATGTGGCGGTAAGACTGCAACAGGCTTACTACGCCGCGCTCATTCCCTCGGCAGCCTGAGCCTCTTCATGCAACACAACTTTCTCCAGAGATACACAGAGGCCATCCTTTACCCGGGGATGCCAGCTATATCCGGGCTTTGGACATAATGTCAGCCAGCTGACGGCAGTAGGGCTGTGTCTGTGAGTACGCCTTTCTACACTGACCTTGCTGTCTCCGTTGCACAGAGCCATGGAGGACTGACGTGTTGTGGAATGAGCTCTCCGTGCGCCTCGCTCGGAGTCCCGGAGAGAGAGCTGAGATGGTCCGCTTGTGGCTCAGCACGCCGACTACTGTTGCGAAAGAGCAGCGGTGCAGTGTGGACACTGAGTGGACAGGCAGGCGAGGGCTCAAGCCTCTTCTTTGAGCTTCAGTTGGCGAAGTACTCTCACTTGTTTGGAGAAAAAAAAACTTTGACTCCGAACATGTGCATAAATGTGACTGTGTTTAGGGGGTGGAGCACAAAATCACAAAATTGGTGTGAAGAGGACGGCTCCTCCTGCTGCAGGGCTCCTCAGTTTGGGAGTAGTGGAGAACATCTTATACTACTCATAGACCGTATTTTTTATACAATCTATGATACTACCTGACACAGTTTAAGAAATTAAAGTAGTTTATAGTCATACTTTCAATTGGATTCTAAAAATAATATGAAATACATCAGCTCACAGTCATGCTATTTTAGTATACCCAGTTAAATTATGATCCATATTTACAAATGGCCTACAAGCTTTAGTTTTGAATTACAGCTACATTAAAAGCACATTACTTAAAGCAGTTTTAGGTCTTTAGAATGCCATCGAGGCATTTTAACCTATAAATGCGTTCTACATATAAGAACCTCAAATTATTAGACCTTTTTCTTTACTTTTTTCTTATTTATTACAATATTTAGGAGTATTCACTTGGTGTATCCTATGGTACTATTGCATAAGCCCAGTACAATACTCTGAGTGTGCAGACTCAGGCAACAGGTATGTGACACAATACTGTGTTCTTTAACACACTACTGATTGGTCTTACAAACAGTTAAGCAAAGAAACTGCCAGCTTTAAACATTTTTACTCATTTTCTTTTAACAAACTTTTATTACCTATGATTTCCTATTTTTAATGAGTGCGCTCTTCTTGGAAAGCCAAGAAAGAGGAAACCCAAAGAAAAAGAAAAAGGAATCTAACAGGTATGCTCCAGAATTCACAGCATTCACAACTGTTATATAATTTTCTTACTAAAAGGGAGGCTCGTATGGCAAAGTGTACATTCTCAGGAATATATATACATTTATTAAGAAAGAAAGAAAAAGGAAAAAAAGAAGACATTTAGAAAATCTTTCCAAACCTTTTATAACCTACATAATTGTAGGGGACTCACGTTCACATGCTCTTATTGAGTGATGTTCACGTGCATAATTACCCAAATTGGGGTAAAATGTTCCAATTAGGCATGGAAGGATCATGTGAAGGGTAATTGTCGCCGAGCGCCCTCTCGTGGACATAATTTTCGCCTACTAATAATGAAAGGAAAACCTCGACAAAAAAAAAAAAAAAAAAAAAAAGGCGAATTGTTTCTCATAAAATGCCATATGTGTTTTTTATGTTAAAATAATGGAAGACATTATTTGACTGTCTCTCTATCCCGCGGTCACGTGGAATAAAGTAGTTTCACATGCAGCCAAACACAAGGAAAAGCATGTGGTTATTCATTACCCCGTTCTCTAAAGTTGCATAAAGTGATTACATCTTTACTAGATGAACTATAGACACCGTTACCCTCTTGATACTTGGGGACAACTAGGACAAGTGGGTAACAGGGTCTGTAGTTCATTTTAAAAAGATGTAACCACTTTCATACTCCTAAATAATAAGACTGTTGTGACTTCTTGCCTCATACACTTGCCTACCCACGACCTCGTGACACTCCTACGTACAAGCGTCGTTTAGAGATACAGCGTTTTATTTCAGTCACAAACTCCAAATAATGCTAAATACTACGTGATTTTTTGCTAGATCATTTTGGAGTCTCTTCTTTAATCCATTAAGCCCATTACGCCTTTGTGAGTGATTTATTTAGATTATGTTGGCGAGTGTGCGGAACTTTTGTGAGCGTCGTTGCGACACGTCAGCTAGAAGCAGTCGGACCAATGTTAGCGCTGCACAGAAACACTTCCGGACTCTTCTGTGTTGATGGTGTTGATTCATGAAGTAACCTGATTTAAACCACACGTTTCTCGTTTTTTCTCGGGTTTGTTACCTTTTTTTATATATGTACCTTTAAACCATCGATCGATTGTACGCTGTTGTGGGAAATAAGCATGATTTTCATTTATAGATGAACTCACTTGTTTTCATTTATAGATGAACTCACTTGTGTTCATTTGGCATGTTGCTTAGTTTGCTATCACCATCACCAGGTATGCATGATATCATCTCGAGAGTTTACATGTGCATGTTTTCGTCATGTCTCGTGTTCGAAATGAAACCTTGGTGGAGATTGAGGTAAATTTAAATGATTATCCTGATTTCCGCATCTCTTATGAGTGCATCCATAGACATATAATTAGTCTGTGAGTGCACCTGCCTGTTGACACCTATTTGCATGTCACACTTTACTGCTTCTCTCATTTCAAAGCCACAGAGTCCCCTGGCATCTCAGGAAATACTTTATCTTGGGGAATGTTCCTCAGATATACATTGGATTAATATTAAATTATTATCGTCAAATTTAGTCTTTAAAAAAAACATATTAAATCCAGGATAATTTGTTAGTGTAGGCGAAACTAAAAGCCGCCAAATGATTTGTCAAAATGGCTTTGTGGACAAACTGTTGCTTCAGTATGAATATGAATTGAATATCATTATGTGAATAATAGTAATTATTATTTCATTTCCTCTTCTTGCCTCTAGAGTGGTGCAGGGCACATCAAGCCTGATGTCTGGTGCCCCAACATGGAGCACTCAGATCTTCTCACTCGCAAGAATGGACGGCAGAGGAAGATGGCTGGTTCATTTCTCTCTGAAAACATAAAGGACTCTGATAGAGTGGAGATGAGCTCCTCTGAATCTGAGATGGAGGGAGAATCAGATGGTCTGATTAAATCCTCGGACTCTGAAGGGTCTTTCAGGAGACGTGCCAGGCCACAACAAGGAGTTCGTGGAGAGATGGGAAATATTTTGTTACTTTTATTTCTTTATGTTCTGCAGGGGATTCCTTTAGGACTTGCTGGAAGCATTCCACTAATTCTACAGGGTAAAAATGCCAGTTATAAAGACCAAGCCTTTTTTAGTTTTGTTTTTTGGCCTTTCAGTCTAAAACTTTTTTGGGCACCTCTAGTAGATGCACTCTATTTTAAAAAGTTTGGTAGAAGGTAAATGCGTTTTACATTTATTCTCTTTTATTATTTATGGTAATTTTACAATTTTACAATTCTGCCTGTTACCACAGAAAGTCATGGCTGGTGCCCACACAATACCTTCTTGGTATCTTCATGATCTGGCTGTCATACACTGTTAATGAACTGCTGCATCGAGAGGGTGGACCTGATATTGTTACACTAACATCAGTGTTCTTCATGCTAGGTTTTTTGGCTGCCACACAGGTACTTCTGGAATGCAGAAAAAAAAACACAAAGATGAACTTTTATGTATAATCTCTTTTTTTTTTTTTTTTTTTTTTTTTCATTTTTAAGGATATAGCTGTTGATGGCTGGGCTCTGACAATGTTGTCTAGGGAAAATGTGGGCTATGCGTCCACCTGTAACTCTGTTGGCCAAACCGCAGGTTATTTCCTTGGTAATGTGCTCTTTTTGGCATTAGAGTCTGTTGACTTCTGCAACAAATACCTCAGGACAGAGCCTAAGGACACAGGCATTGTCACTTTATCAGGTATGTCACATTGATATATGTACTATACTAGTACTATATACCAGGGGTTCCCAAAAGTTTGGCAGCTGACGACCCGTGACCCCCGCTACACCCCCTTTTACCCCCAACACGCGCGCGCACACGCGCATGCCCTTCCCGGTATGACCGTATTGAACGCGCATCTCTGATTCCGGGTATTTTATTTTATACACTTTGGTGTGTTCATGTCTTTATAGTCTCAGGTGTTTATTAATGTGAAGCCAGACCTGGTCCGAGTGGTTAACCTAGTAATAACCTGTTTTTGTTTTAACGTTCTGTGCGGAGATTTAGAGTCAGAAAAAGAGCGCACATAGGGCTTGGCACCGAACAGTAGCGCAGGCGCTGACAATACGAAACTCTCCTACGAAACCTGTATAAACGGAGGGTACATACAAAACTCAGGTTTTAACGTAGTCGTACATGTGCCCAAACAAAATACAATGTCTCATCTTACCGGTAAAACAGGAGAGCTGAAAAAACCAGCGTACAGAGCTTATATCCACTCCAAAACACATCACGTCTCCAGAGCGTTGGTTTTACAGTGTCTCAAAGTCGAAGTGTTGTGAGTAATAATACGTCCACATCCAGTGACAGTCTGCAGTGTCCACGTAAACAGATAACATGAACCAATCTCCGCCAAAATCCTCCTCTTTCTCGGTCCTGGTGAAAGCCTAATTCCCAAATAAATGTGGAATATTCAGTGTGGACCGTGCGTCTATGTAAAGATCCAAAGTCGTTAGTAGAGTTCGCCATAATTCTTCTCTGGCTCAGGTAACCCGGGTATTAAAAGCGTAAAGTTGACAAAACAAAAAGCACGTGATATAAGATATATATTAGATTTAAAGTGTGTATATGAAGGAGGTGACAGTCGCTCGTGTAAGCCCACGGGAGGGTCAGCTGCGCGGCCCTGGTTCATTTGTTTTGAGTTATAACTGGACAGATGTCACACAGTCAGAGGCTAGCACATGTTTTAAAATATGAATTAACACCGTTATAGGAGAGTGAAAATCATCCCGGAACCACTGTACTATACGGTACTATAGTGAAACGTGCAAGAACAAGATACTAATGTTCTATGTTTGCAGATTTCCTGTTTTTCTGGGGTGTGATTTTCATGGTATCCACAACACTGGTGGCAATTTTTAAAAGAGAAAATAGACCCATCAGAGGGAAGAAAAGAGTGAAGGAGGAGACCGAGAGCGTCATGGAAACCTACAAGTTACTTTTCAACATCATTAAAATGCCTACTGTATTCACATTTTGCTTCATGCTTCTTACAGCCAAGGTACTTTCAAACTGACAAGCTATTCAATTTAAAATGTAGTGAACCTTCAATTTTAAATTTCTGCTATTTGTATCAGATGGGCTTCTCTGCAGCTGATGCAGTGACAGGTCTAAAACTTGTCGAAGAAGGAGTCCCTAAGGAGCAGTTGGCCTTGCTGGCTGTACCTTTGGTGCCCTTGCAGATTTTACTTCCAGTTATCATCAGTAAATACACTGCTGGGCCCCGGCCACTGGATATCTTTTACAAAGCATTTCCTTTTAGGTTTGTTTTAAAGTCACTATTATCTATAGATTTACTTAATGTTTCGTGCAGTGTTGAATAGTGTGGCGCCTTGCAGATTGCTGATTGGGTTGGAGTACGCTCTGCTAGTGTGGTGGACGCCAAATGTCAGACATGAAAATGGATTTCCGGTTTACTACTATGGTGTAATACTTCTTAGCTACGCCCTGCATCAGGTTTGTTATTTTCCTTTCTGAAATCTACATACTCTGATAAAATGATAAATCACATAGGATACACACTACACTTTATCCTCTCTATATAACTGACCATTCCTGCACCTGCATACGTAAATATTGTCTGGGAAATCCAGAAGAACTCTGCACATTTTATACAGATGGATATCAGTCTAGTCCCCAAGCTCTTTTGCGCATCAAGCCCAGTCCAACATGATCATGCAATCAGATTTGTCTTTTGTCAGTGACTCATGTAAAACAAAGGAATTCGATGGTCACATATAATTTACAAATAAAATCAACTTTCTTTCACTTCAGATTAACAGAAATCAGCGATATTTTCAGTTCTCTGTGATTTCCCTTTTGTTTTTTCTGATACGTATAAGTACAAGACATAATGCATAATGTAATATGAATTAAAGTTTCTTCATTTATATGGTTCACAATTGTGTTTTGTTTGTAATATTTTATTGTAATGTTTAAATAATTTCTCTAGGTGGCAGTGTACAGTATGTATGTAGCCTGCATGGCCTTCCACGCCAAAGTAAGTGATCCACTGATTGGTGGGACATACATGACTCTCTTGAACACAGTCACTAATCTGGGAGGCAACTGGCCTTCTACTGTGGCCCTGTGGCTGGTGGATCCACTCACCACCAAGGAATGCCAAGGGGCTCCTGGGCAGAGTTGTGCCTCATCAGAAGCTGCTGGGGTAAGTGAGAAGACCACTTTAAATATAATTTCTGAGTTGAGGTACTAAGCACAAATGATAACAATTGTATGTCCCATTCACAGCTGTGCGTAAAGGAGGGTGGAGTGTGTCTTACCACACTAGATGGATACTATGTGGAGTCTGCGGTGTGTGTTGTGATTGGTATAATCTGGTGGGTGTGGCTTGGAAAGAAAATGAGGCGCCTGCAGGATGAGAGTCCTGCTGCATGGAGATGTAGAGATTAAAGACTATTCCAATGTAAGGCTGTGTGAATATGCTGCACAGTTTTCAGCTTCCACCATGAAGAGAATAATGAATTTTGTCATTATTGTCACTACATACTTGAACTCGTTCCTCTAGCCTGATAAATTCTCCTCCAGCTGAGGCAGTCCTGACCAGATCTGGAATCTGGACACAGGTCCACACTCCTGGCAGGTTTCTCCAGCAGCACTGAAGTATGGGTCAAATGTAAAGGACACATATCCCTACAGGGACAATAAAGTGTACTTTATTTTTAAATTATGCATTTAATCATTCACCTGCATTGAAAATCACATGTTTAACTGTTACATCTTAATCACGGAGTGCATCCAGACAATGAAAACTGTACAGAATACATGCTTAATTATTTATTTTAACTAGTGATTCAATGCCAAAGGGAAATCATATATTTTGGGGGACATATTATGGTAATTTTAAGAAAGATTTGTCTCAGCTCTGGTACAATCTGGGCCTTTTTCAAACTTTGTGCCTTGGTTGCATTGAAAGGCCTTTCTGGTTTGACGCATTTTGTGGTAAAAATATTCCATATACAATTTTTGTTAAAATGTACTTTCTCATAAAAAAATGAAGTCATGCCATTAAAAGCCTTTCAAATTTTCAAAGTCGGCTGTTTTTTTATTTTATTCCCAATCAAATTCCCAATCAGCGCTGTTTTAACACAAACTCATGAAATTATGTGATTCTATCATTATATAATGTAATGTCATAGTAATTATGCACTTAAGACTCACAGATGAGTCAAGTCAAGAATTGCACTTATTTATGTATGAGTGGTATGTTTAAAGTAGTATATTTTTATTCATAAAAAGATTGATGATATTAGAGTGCATGTGTCTATTGCTGCTTTGTACAGACTTTGGTATATTAAAATACAAAGTCTGCAAAGCTATTCCAACAAGGGAATAGTTTTGGGCTTGATAGATTGACAGACCTCCTGGCAGTAGTGCACTGCTGCACATGCTCTTTTCAGCGTTATTCACTTTATTGAAAGGTTTTATTTGTGCTTTAAAACATTAAAATGAACAACATGGACACACAAGAGTATTTAAAGAAATTTATTTTGTACTTGCTTTTCAGGAACTCTAAAATGTCCCTCCTAAACAAGTTAATGCTGATGCAAGTGGCTGGAAAATTCTGCTCCAGCCTTAAGTATCAAAGCCCCACATCTAGGTTGTGACACAGGCTGTGTCAGATCCACTGCAGGCCTGTGCGTTGGACTATCCACGTCTCAACCACATTGGCCTGGGTCTGAATGAGCGCAGAGCTGCCTCAGGCTGACTGAAGCTGACTGATGTCTGCTGATGTATCAACTGTTCTCTAGGGAACCTCTCCTTTGTAGAATGATCTGATGACCAAGCCACGGTTTCACTAGGCATCCACATTACCAGCACTTGTGGGCATTAGGCTCTTGATGATTTATTTGTTGATGGCTAGCATAGTTGATGCCCCAAGTTTGCAACATGTCTTCAAACAAAACTATAGCCCTCAACTTCTTAACTGCAAATTGACCACTATGTGTCATTATTTTCACATTACATCCACTTAACCTCACACAAGAGCCAGGAAGCATTCGTGTATGAACAACCCCACTGGAAGAAATTACTGGCATTCATTCAGATAGCACAAAGCACTTCAGATATTGTCTGGGATTTCCCCTCCATTTCTCAGTTTTCCTGATATTTGGGGGGTTCAGAAGACTGAGGTCATGTGACCTTAGCACAATGATACCAAAGATATAAAGATGTAGCTCTTAACTGCAACAGAGTTTAACACAAACTCCAGGCTGTCAGTAAATGTAGTGTAAGGATGTGCAATTTTGATTATTCATTGTCTATAGCATCCCCCGTTTTTGCTTTGTTAAAAAAAAATCAAAGGAAGAAAGTCATGAAGTGAGAATCTCTCCTAATGAAGCAGGTGGGTCATAGGTTCATACGTAGATGCTCAGGTCGTTTGGCTACCACCGGGTAGGTCTGCTGCTTCATCTGGGCCAGGTTAAGTCCTGCAGGCTGACGGATGGGCAGAGGGGCAGAGGCCTCCGAGCTGCTGCTCACGTCCATCTGCTCCGGAGTGGACACCTCCATGGCCTGGTCCTGAGGGGGCTGTGGCACACTGGAGCCTAACCCTGTGAGGAGGGGGCTGCGAGTCCAGCATTCTGGGCCAGAGAACTTCACCGGGCTGAATCAAAGCATATTGTTAGCAGATGCTTAATGGACACAAGACACACAAAGTTTATTGAGAACATACCTGAGGGGTGTCCTGGGACTACCCATAATCCTCCGCGGCGACCGGATTTTTGGTTCAAATGAAAACTTTTCTTTGATGTTTTCTAACACTGATGGTGCGACATAAGTAAACCCCTGAAACGAGAGGCATGTTTATCAGAAAAATATTTCTATATTTCCATCTTTTAACACATTGAGTCAATTACCAGAAAAGCTTGATTGGCACTTTCACTGAGTGTGGAGTCATCAGGGCTGTCTACTGGTGTCTGACTGGTGAATTTAGAGTCAAACTGACTCACGTCATCTGCTGATTGCTGAGGAAAAGATGGAAAAGGTTAAGAGAGGACACTAGAATCTGCTCTTTACAATGGATTTCACTTTTTTTTGTCTGTATATGTAAAAAGCCCACTAAAAGAGGAATTAATCTTAAAAGGGTCGTATGATGTAAAATTTACTTTTTCATCTTTGAATCGAATTATGTTGTATTCCTGAACTGTATTCACTTATATTTCCTGTATTTTTCTTGCACATCCTGCTAATGCCTAATGTTGGTCCTTTACATGTCAACACATCTAGCTTTTCATCTTATATTATGTTGTTCTGCTCATCCTCCATTACTCACCAAGATGGGCTTGAAAGGAGGCTCTACTTTCCGAGCAAGTAAATCCTCCCAGTTAATGTGTCGAAAGAAAGGATGGGCCTACAAGACAGAAAGAGTTAAACGGCAAGACCAAGATTCTGTTGTAGAACTGATGTTCACAGTGTAAATAGGTCGACTTATGAGGGTTCCTTGTAGAGTAATTGGCAAAATTGTCAATACAATTCATTTCATACACATGCCACGATTCGATATATCATGGTACTAAAACAATAATAAACTAATAATAATATAGCCAACTACACCTTCACAAGAACAATTTTTTTTAATCAAGAGAATAGTGAATGTAACTCATGAAGTTTTTCTTACACCCCTAATACCCACCTGCACTTCAGTGGCATCTCCTGGCCCAGCACCCAACCGCGATGAAGCATTTCTTTTGAGCAACTAAAACATAAATAGACAATTTATTTTAAACACATTAAACCATGTGTCTTGTAACACAATCAAAATTTATATTATGATACCCGTTTAAGGAGATCCCGAGCTTCTTGTGTGAGGTAGGGTGGGAGGTTAAGCTTGCACTTTAAGATCTTGTCAATGGTCTTCTTTCGGTTTTCACCAGTAAATGGGGGCTGAATGGGAAAATTCAATTTAAGCACCATTTCCTCCTTGACAGCTTTAAACAAATGTGTATATAATGAAACTGACCGCTCCTGTAAGCATGTCATACATCAGAGCACCCAGACTCCACCAGTCGACCGCTCTGTTGTGTCCGCTTCTCATTAGGATTTCTGGTGCCCTAAAACAGAGACACAGATCAGACTCCATAGATGTCACGTATGATTTAGTTATGGTTTATTTTTACCTACATGTATTCAATAGTCCCACAAAATGTATGTGTCACAGTGCCATCGTGAATAGACTCCTTACAGAGGCCAAAGTCTGTCAACTTTACATGGCCTGCAAAGAAAAGAGACTAAGAAATACAAGGGTAACATACTACTGTAAAAAGTTGTTAATGTAGTATTCTTAAAGGTGCACTGTGTAATTTTCATAGTGGAGGGTCTGTCACCTGCTTGTTTCTATGGATATGCCATTGAAATATTCCTCAGTATGACATTAAACAGCTCTACTTTACATTTATTAAATTACAGGTGGTTTTATAGCTCATAAATACCAAGAAAAACAAGCATTGTGACTGAACGGTATTGCCTCTCCACACATCTGACCTGACTTGGTCTAGTTTGGTCTCCGTGAAGATAGAAAAGGTTAAAACCATAAAGTGAAACACTCCAGGCAAAGCAATAACATCACCATGAAGAAAAGCAAAAGGAGAAAACAGACCCTCCGCCAGAAAAGTTACACAATGCACCTTTAAGGCTTGTCAAAAATAATTCCTGTGTAAGGTTTGGAATCCTTTATCTTGACAGTTTTGAAGTTTCTCCTTAGGATTATAAGACAAAGTGACTGTTCCAGCTCTAACAGTGTAACAAAGGCATAGAAAACAGATTTGTCCAGACTTAGCAATGCATTAAGGTAAGGAATTAACATACATACATACATTTTTGAGTCAGCAGATTTAGTTTTACTGCAGAAACGTAAGCTTAAACCCAAGTATATACAGTAACATTGCCTCACCTTGGTTGTTGAGCATAATATTCTCTGGCTTTAGGTCTCTATAAATTATGCCTTTCTGGTGCAAATGTCCCAGCGCCATGGAAATTTCAGCCAGATAAAAACTGTACAAACACATTTCAATGCAAACAACATTTTAAAAAGGTATTTACTTTAGAGCATTTTGAGCTTTGGAGTAATAATGCAGCGTTACTCAAACATGTATGAATGAAAAAGCACAACTATACATATGCTTTTGGGGAGTTAATAGCAATCTAAGATGGCTTAATGCTCTCAAGAGTCAATTTTGAGTAATATAGGACCTTTCAAAAATGCCCACATGTACTAAAAATGGCAATAATTTTCTGCAGAATTTGATAGCTGCAATCGTGTTTTTAGTTATTAATTATTAAGAGTGTGCAAAAATATCGAAATAGTGATATATTGTATCGTTTAATGTGTATAGTATCGGTATCGTGGGCTGGTGTATAGATATATATCACCTAAAGTATTTTTTGCTATATTTTGTTTAATTATTTTGTTACAGTGCCACAGTTTTGTTGGTTGTTCAGTGGAAGGAAAGTCATTTATGCGACACATTTGACATTTTCACAGTTTTGATGATTAAAATGGCCGTTTTTCATTTGAACTTAGCACAAGAAGCGGTTTAACATAGACTTTTACTATCACAGCCATGATTTAACCATTATTTTTTATTGAACAGTATCAAATCGATTTGAAATATATCATACCAAATTGAAAGTGCACTGTACCGAGATATGTATCGTATCGTGGCCTATGTATCGAGATATGTATCGTATCAGCAACTTCGTAATGATACACAGCCTTATTAATTATGAACTAGTGTTATAAAGATGCAACAGAATGAATAGTTCCCAGTACAAATCTCACTTTAATACAAAATGTCCTATTATCAGATGGATGTTACTCACCAGGCTGTGTCTTCCATAAAGATGCCCTCCCTCTCCAGCTGCATGAAAAGCTCTCCACCTGAAACATGATACATACACTGTAAATAGTGGCAGTAAAAATAGGTTGATTTCCTGTTAGGGGGAAGACCAGTTAGGGAAGAAAATGTATGTATGTTGGTAAAATTTGTGTAAGTTTGTGTGTACTGACCACTTAAGTATTCCAGGATGAGATAGAGCTTTCCTCCAGTCTGGAAAGCATAAATGAGGTCGACTATAAAGGGATGCTTCACCTCCTCCAGGATGTTTCTCTCTGCCTTCGTGTGGGCGGTGTCCTTGGCATTACGGACAATCATAGCCTGAACACAAGCAGAGCGTAAATTGAGTTACTGAAGGTCCTATATTACACAAAATTGAGTCTTGTGAGCTTTAAACCTTGTTAGAATGTAGTTAAAACATAACTGGAGTTGTTGTTTCATTCACACATGTTTGAGAAACCCTTATAATTAATTTGTCTACATCCCTAGACCTCAAAATACTCTGTTCCACCTTGCGATGTCATGAAGCGGTAGTTCCAAGTTAGTTCAAGAGCTACCTTTTACCTTTTGTTCAGTAGAGCAAATTCAGGGCTGAAATTATCCAAATGATTCAAGTGAAGGAATATGGAGTTTAAAAACACAATGGATGGAGCACTTCCTGTATTACCACGACATCACAAGGTGGAATGAAATGGTATATGCAGGGTTTGTGTGTTAAATATGTGTGAATGAAACAAAACACAACTCCAGGTATGTTTTTAAAGAAGAAAACAACATTATAACAATAAGATCAGAAAATAGCGTAATATGGGCCCTTTAAAGCATTGTTTTTTTGGGGGGGTCTCCTTGTCATGATCTGCATGTAGGCTGAAATGTGAAGATGTGTTTTGTATAATTTCTTATCTTTTTGTAATTATTTTATTGACTATTTAGTTCCAGTATTGCTGGTTCAACTGAATGTTAAAAAGAAAAAGAAATGGGCTGAATTTACTGTCCAAATAGGCGACTTATAAAGACCTTTTATTGCTGGTTCAATTACTGTTTTTCATTGTTTAAAACTTGAGTAATACGAATTGTTCAAAGAGACACGATTACTCAGTCAGCAATAAAATATCCTCATTAATGTTCAGTTATGGTCAAATCCACCTTTATTTTGTGATTTACGAGAAATGTTAATTGACTTGGGTCGCAAAGGTTTATGACTTCTAAAATATGGGTCCCTAGAAAAAAAGTCTGGGAAACATTGCTTCAAAGTGTAAGTTTACCTACTATAGTGATTACAAGTTTGTGTTACATCTTACCACACTAAATACTTCTAGCGGCTCCAGGTTAAATATTTAAACTGTATTTAACCTATATTTCTCGGTATTACACAATTGATCATTATGGCTGTTGTTATGAGCGTGTAACTTTTAGCAAAAAGCTGAAAAGTTAATTAACAACAAAGTTACGCCAAGACTTTAATAGATATGCGACCATTGCAGTATTTTATATGCAATTGTGAAAAGAAAAACAGCTTACTCTTAGCCTTACTTGGCACTGTGTAATCTAGCTGTAAAAATCAGTTACATTCTTCCTCTTAGGCCATTACACCTATTGCATAACGATTAAAGCCATAAAGAGGGGATATGTACAAGTCTTGCACACTGCAGTCTCTACTATACACCAGCTTTTTAATGTTGTAGTTCTTCCAGTATTTTATGTCCATTCTATGTATTCTATTAATAATATCCTTTGCTTAACTAAGACAAAGGTGTGTTTAATGTACTTTTGTAACTTTGTGTTTATTACTGAATTGACCAATAAATAAATAAATAAATAAAGTAATAAATTAATAAAGTTAATCTTTACTATTGCCAACCAGTGTGCAAAACAGCTATCCCGCTCTCTAAATCATTTTTCATGTTTTACTTCATAACTTTCACAAGGCAAGTATGGACAGATTTTCTTGGGAACATACAAGACCAGACCCTAACTAGTTTCTATCGGTTATGTAATTTTAAGATTGACAATTGCTGTTTGAGATGTCCAGTCTTTAAAGGGTCACTCAGGTCATTTCTAGCCAGCCAAGCAGAATCAGTAGCTGGAACTTGCAGATTCTAAAAGCAAATCTTTGGCTGCAGTGGAGCAGGAACAATGGCAATGTACCAAGGAGCAGCACAACTTTGCCCCATCACTGCCTTCAAGGACAGCCAATATTTACAGACACATGTAATTTAACGTCTTACTCACACTCACTCATTTTATCTGTTATAGTAGCATGATGAAGTACATGGATGAGAGCAATAAGAGTATAAATCTTTACCTTTTTTAAAACCTTCATAGCAAATATTTTTCCTGATGCTGCTCCAACAACTTTTCTGACTTGAAAAACCTATCCAAGAAGAAATTTAATCAATGAACATTTTAGTAAAGATCAGAGATTGCTGAGGTCTATAATAGTACCTTTCCATATCCGCCTTTCCCCAAAACCCGCAAGAGTTCAAAGCACTCAGGTCTGATGTTCTCCGTGCCCTGGTTGACGTTGTCCTCAGATATTTCAATCTTCTCACAGCCTTCCATGTTACTGGAGATATAAATCAATGTGAGTAAAACACTTTTCTCACACAATAATTCACTTAAGTAAAAATAATATTACTTACAACTCAAATCCACTGCACTGATCCATGAAGTCATTGATTTGAGACTAGAAAAAAAAGTCACAAGCTTACAGTAATAGTTCATATCAAAATGACCAAGAACTACATTTTTAAAAGGTTATTTATGCACCTCTGGTGCTGGGATTTTGCAGTGAGAGGCTGGGGCCTACACAAGTATTGCTCAATATTTGCTACATACACATCAACATGAGGCAACATGTTTAACAGAATAATTTAACATCAAAAGAAGCGTCATGAAAGAATGAAAGTGAAAGATGGACTTCCCAAACTAGTTGGTTATTTGTTATTATTATTACTTTTAAAAGGATGAGAGTTACTCAGAATTAAGTTTACTAGACAAGACAAACAATACATCTATAAAGCACAGAAAAATCTTTGCAAATGTTCTTCACGTGGCATAATTGTGGTGTTGGTGAGTTTATAGAATAAAATAAACAGTGCAACAGTCTGTTGTAGTGTAAAAGTGTGCAGCCATAATAAACTGTTGCATACACACAGAGACACATTTTTCTGTGCAGTGTATTTTTCCGATTAAAGATAATCGGTGCTGCAGACCGATATTTACGGTGATACCGGTGTGTGCTCGCTCCTTTGTTTATGGCCTAAATAACACTGGTGAGTGTTGACAGCTCTGTTGTGGGAGCTGTCAGGCTCACGTTGCAGCACTAGCGTTAGCCTCTGCAGCTAAAGTTGCTAAGCCTGTTTAAGGCCTGGATGCTGAGCTGCAGAAGCAGGCCTTCTGTGGCTGCTGGCACTTTACCAGGCTAACTCCGCTCAGATTAGCAGGCTACTGTGCAGCTGAGTTTCAGCATGACAACTAATGCAATTATGTCAGACGTATCTGTCTATGGTACCTCTTCGATCTCATCATCGGAAACATTTTCCTCCGGCTGGTCCAAATCAATGTCAAACACTCCCGCCATAGTTGTTTTCCTCGCACCACTCTGTCAAACAGCAGAAGATCTGCAGGCGTCCGCCTCATGGACAAACACACTCCGCCGCCATAACCGGCTACTACACTGAGCATGCGCAGTGCGGAGGGACTCTGAGGGGCCAAACTATTTGATATTCATAAATTCACCAAGGAAATATTTTTAATATTCTACTTGCCCTTTTTATTTGTATAAATCTGCACTAGTGGTTTGCATAATTGTTTTCGCAGTTAAAAGGTGTAATATAATAACACTTAAAACGTTTAACTAAACATTAGGCTACTGTAGTAAAATATGCTATGCAGCTCAAAAGATATTTGAGCCAGTATGCAAGTTCGGCAAGTATTAAAATTAACCAGTCATTTATTTTTTAACAGTTTATATGCATTATCTATGGCTGACTACTGCATTCCTTTGATTTTATTTTGGAAACAGGAAGTGTCATTTTAACTTCTTGTGGCGCCAGCTGTAGTGCTCTTACATGTGTTCTTTTTGCTCACCTGCTGAACAAAACAATGGAGAAAGTTCATTCGTCGTCGTCTTTTTGACTTTTTACGGTCAGGTGAATGTTTATGGTTACAGACAGGGACAATTCAGGAATGTATCTTGAAAATGTGTGAATTGTGAGATAGAAGTGATGTCTGTGGTGACAGTTCAGCTCGGACAGTGCGGTAACCAAGTGGGTCTCGAGCTCTTTGATGTCATCTCCAACGACGCACGCGAGGCTCAGAAGAGGACGTACTGCAGCGCGAGCCACGAGCGCTTCTTCCACACAAACACTAATGGAGGTACATTTCTCTCAACACCAGCACATTAAACACTAATTTAACTTACTAGAGGTGACTTTTTGTAAACTTCATGATGTACATCTTCTTTCCATCTTCCAGATCTTGAAGCCAGGGCGGTGCTCATTGATATGGAGCCCAAAGTGATCAACCACAGTATGACAAAAGCTGTGAAGTCTGGGAAGTGGAAATACGGGGAAAAGTCCTACTTCAGTCAAAAGCAGGGTTCTGGTAACAACTGGGCCAACGGGTAATGGAAGATCCTACGATTAATTATGTGAAACAATGATATTTTGTTGTCCATAATCATACACAAAGTTGTTATTACTCTGTCATACATTGCACTCATTAAGATAATAAAAATCTGGCCAATATGGATACAACACTTTATGGATGAGACAAAATATTCAGAAAAGAACATTGCTTCTTTGCTAAATATTGTATTATACTCATATTTTACTCAAGTCTGATTATAGCAGAAATAATTGAGTAACGACCCATATTTAGATGTTTAATCTTAATAGACCGTAAAAGAACAGACCTGTAAAAACTAGTTAAATTAGAAATCTTTAAGGAAATAATACGTTTCTTGCCTGTTCTCCATAGTAATTAAAACAGAAAAGCCTTTTGGAGTGTTATGACCATGAACAACACACGAACACAACCTATGAAAGCTCAAGAATCAGCTTTTTTTTTTTTTTTTTCGTACAGATTCTGTGTCCACGGGCCCCAACACAAGGAAACGGTGGAGGAGCTGGTGAGGAGAGAGGTGGAGCGTTGTGAGCGTCTGGCTGGTCTCATGCCCATCATGAGTGTGGCAGGAGGCACTGGGTCAGGCGTGGGCACCTACGTAACACAATGTCTGAGGGACGCTTTCCCCAAGAGCTTCATTCTCAACCATCTCACATGGCCCTATGGCACTGGGGAGGTATGGTTACAACTATCAACAAAACACTGCATTTCTAGTAAAGGTGCACTGTGAAGAGTCTGTTATGTGTTTGTCTCCATGGAGATGTTATTGTTTTGCCTGTTATGTTCCACAATAATATAGCTTCAGACTTATCTAACTCTTTGGAGACAGATCTGTGGCTAGGCGATTTTGGTCACAGTAAGAATGGATGTTTTCAAGGTGTTTTTGAACAATAAAGCACTCTTGGCATATATCATAAACAAAGCAATAACATCTCCATGGAGACAAGCAGCTTGTAAGTACCCTTCATCAGAGTTACTTTAATGTTGCTGGGTTTTTTTCAATATTTTTGCCTATTTTATTTTATTGCATTGAAATAAACTAGGGCACAGGAGAGGGCACAAGAATGACACTAGTTCAGTTGGTAGAGTTTTGAAGGTTGACAGTTCAAATCCTGTTCTCGATATAAACATCAATGGTAGAGCGGTCAGATCCACTGGCACACAGGTTGGCGGTGTGTCGTTGTGTCCTTGGGCAAGACAATTAACCCACTTCGCCCCGATTGTCAGTGTACACTGGGGGCTGAATGTGTGTGTGAAAGTGTGTGTGAATGTGTGTATGAATGTGTGTGAATGCGTGTGTGTGCGCCTGTGTGTATGAATGTGTACGTGAATGTGTCTACGAATGTGTGTGTGAATGTGTTTGAACGTGTGTGTGTGTGTGAATGTGTATGTGAATGTGTGTATATGAACGTGTGTATGAAGATGTGTGTGTGTGAACGTGTGTGTGAATGCGTGTGTCTGTATGAATGCGTGTGTCTGTATGAATGTGTGTATGAACGTGTGTATGAACGTGTGTATGAACGTGTGTATGAACGTGTGTGTGAATGTGTGTGTGAATGAATGTGTGAATATGTGTGTATGAACATTTGTATGAATGTGTGCATGAACATGTGTGTGTGAATGCACGTGTGTGTGTGTGAATGCGTGTGTCTGTATGAATGTGTGTATCTGTATGAATGTGTGTATGAACGTGTGTGTGAATGTTTGTGTGAATGTGTGTATGAATGTGTGAATGTGTGTGCATGAATGTGTGCATGAACATGTGTGTGTGAATGTGTGTATGAACCTGTGTGTGAACGTGTGTATGAGGATGTGTGTGTGTGAACGTGTGTGAATGCGTGTGTCTGTATGAATGTGTGCATGAACATGTGTGTGAATGTGTGTATGAACCTATGTGTGAACGTGTGTATCAGTGTGTGTGTGTGTGTGTGAGAACGTGTATGCGAATGTGTGTATGAACATGTGTATGAATGTGTGTATGAACGTGTGTGTGTGTATGTGAATGTGTGTATGAACATGTGTATGAATGTGTGTATGAACGTGTGTGTGTGTATGTGAATGTGTGTATGAACATGTGTATGAATGTGTGTGTGAACGTGTGTGTATGAACGTGTGTGAATATGTGAATGTGTGTGTGTGAATGTGTGTATGAACCTGTGTGTGAACGTGTGTATCACTGTGTGTGTGAATGTGTATGTGAATGTGTGCATGAATGTGTGCATGAATGTGTGCATGAATGTGTGTATGAACGTGTGTATGAACATGTGTATGAACACCTGTGTATGAACACGCGTGTATGAATGTGGTATAAACGTGTGTGTATGAACATGTGTGTGTGAATGTGAGTGAATGGGTGAGTGCTTTGAGTGCCTTGAAAGTGGAAAAGCGCTGTATAAAAATGTGGCATTTACAAAAACACATGACTCAAAATAGGAAATTATGAAGGTACTTTTTGCTTGTGCGCAACTTAAAAATGTGACAGATGTATCAATGAATTCCTTGTGTTTCAGGTCATTGTCCAGAACTATAACTCCGTGCTAACTCTGTCTAAACTCTACCGTCTGTCCGATGCCATCCTGGTGCACGAGAATGACACTGTGCACAGAATCTGTAGCCAGCTGCTCAACATCAAGCACATCACATTCAGCGACGTGAACCGGGTCATGGCACATCAGCTGGGCGGTGTGCTCCAGCCCGCACTCACACCACACTCCTACGGGACCTTCAGCAGAAATCCTTTAGGTATCAAACAAGAATTATGAATGAATTATATTGTTGAGTTATATAATTGTTGAATTATATTGAATTATAAGATACTCACACTCAAATACTACCAGTCAAAAGTTTGGTCTCACCATCTTATTCACTGTTTTTTTCCTTTATTTTTACTACTTCCTACTCAGGATGGGACAAGATCTCATGAGAAAAAAATTCCACAAGAGCACACACGCATAATACAAATGATCTTGTGAGATTTTCTCCATGGTTTTAGATTTGGATTGGTTAAATTTTTTAAGAAAAAGAAAAAAGAAAAAAAGCAGAGCTACAGTGACATCAGAAATATTAAAGTAAATCAAAAATGGTGAAAATTAGGCTCTCTTTTCTCATTCTGGTAGATCCAGTCTTGTGTTTTGTCTCATCTTGTGGAAACTGTATCTCATCCCACCCCTACCTCCTACATTTTATATACGTACAGAAGACATCAAATATATGAAGTAATATGTATGGAGTTATGTAGCAAAGCAAAACTCACCTAACCTTTTGCATTTTTTTTTCTTTACTCCATAATAATTCCATATATTTTACTTCAGATACTGTATTTGATGTCTTTCATATGAAAAAAAAATCAAAACCCTGAGATATGAGATGGTGTGTACAGACTTTTGATAGTGTATGTTTAAGTTTTTTAAGTTTTCATTCAGTGTTTTTTTTTTTTTTTTACACTACTTTCTACATTTTAGATACAAGATACAAGAAAATAGACATCAAATATATGAAGTAAGATATATGGAGTTATGTAGCAAAGCAAAACTCACTTAACCATTTTCATTTTTTTTTCTTTACTCCATAATTCCATATATTTTACTTCACATACTGTATTTGATGTCTTTCGCATGTATCTTAAGTAAATAAAGTAGTAAAAACAATGAAAAAAAAGCATTGAATGAGATGATGTGTACAGACTTTTGATAGTGTATGTTTTTTTTTTTTTTTTTTTTTTTTTTTTTTACTACTTTCTACATTTTAGATACAAGAAAAAAGACATCAAATATATGAAATAAGCTATATGGAGTTACGGAGCAAAGAAAAAATGTTAAATAACTCACCTGGAGACCCTTTTGCATTTTTTTTTCTTTACTACATAATTCCAGATATTTTACTTCATATACTGTATTTGATGTCTTTCATATGTATCTTAAATGAATAATATATATATAATGAATGTACATGAATGTGTATATATATATATATATGTATATATATATATATATATATATATATATATATATATATATAATATATATATATAAAACGGTGGTAGGGTCTCTCTCACCCTCATTCAGCTCGGGTCCTCTACCAGAGGCCTGGGAGCTTGAGAGTTCTGCGCAGTATCTTTGCTGTTCCCAGTACTCCACTTTTCTGGACTGAGATGTCCATTGTTTTTTCCCGGTATCTGTTGTAGCCACTCTTCCAGTTTGGGGGTTACAGCCCCGAGTGCTCCGATCACCACAGGCACCACTGATGCCTTTACTTTCCAGGCTCTCTCCAGCTCTTCCTTGAGCCCCTGGTATTTCTCTAGCTTCTCGTGTTCCTTTTTCCTGATATTACCATCGCTTGGTATTGCGATGTCAACCACCACGGCTCTGCTCTGTTTCTTATCCACCACCACTATGTCTGGTTGGTTCGCCATCACCATTCTGTCAGTCTGTATCTGGAAGTCCCACAGGATCTGGATTGGCTCGGTCATTCTCCACAACCTTTGGAGGTGTTTCCCACCTTGATCCTGGGGTTTCCAGCCCGTACTCTGCACAGATGTTTCTGTACACTATGCCCGCCACTTGGTTATGTCGCTCCATGTATGCTTTCCCTGCCAGCATCTTACACCCTGCAGTTATGTGCTGGACTGTCTCAGGAGCCTCTTTGCACAGTCTACACCGTGGGTCTTGTCTGGTGTGGTAGATCTGGGCCTCTATTGCTCGAGTGCCCAGGGCCTGCTCCTGAGCAGCCAGGATCAGTGCCTCTGTGCTGTCCTTCAGACCAGCCCTCTCAAGCCATTGGTAGGATTTCTTGATATCAGCCACTTCAGTTATGCTCCGGTGGTACGCCCCATGTAGGGGTTTGTCCTGCCATGATGGTCCCTCCAGCACCTTTTCCTCTGGACCCCACTGTCTGAGACATTCTCTGAGCACCTCATCTGCCGGGGCCTTGTCCTTGATGTACTCAAGGAGCTTGGATGTTTCATCCTGGACAGTGGTTCCCACACTCACTAGTCCTCGGCCCCCTTCCTTCCGGCCTGCGTACAGTCTCAGGGTGCTGGATTTGGGATGGAACCCTCCATGCATGGTCAGGAGCTTTCGTGTCTTAACATCTGTGGTCTGTATCTCCTCCTTTGGCCAGCTTACAATCCCTGCAGGGTATCTGATCACTGGCAGGGCGTAGCTGTTGATTGCCTGCACCTTGTTCTTGCCATTGAGCTGGCTTCTAAGGACTTGCCTCACTCTTTGCAGGTATTTGGCCGTAGCCGCTTTCCTTGTTGCCTCTTCGAGGTTGCCATTTGCTTGTGGGATACCAAGGTACTTGTAACTGTCCTCAACGTCTGCTATTGTTCCCTCTGGGAGTGACACCCCCTCTGTGTGTGTATATATGTGTATATATATATATATATATATATATATATATATATATAATATATATTTTTTTTATTATTATTTTTTTGTCTTATAGGTGAATTGGTGAGCTCTCTGGCCTGCCATCCTGAGTACAAACTGCTGAGTGTCTGCACAATCCCTCAAATGCCCAGTTCATCTATCGCTTACAGCACCTTTGCCTGGCCAGGACTGTTGAAGCACCTACGCCAAATGCTCGTCTCAAATACTAAGATGGAGGAAGGTATCATAGTATTTTTTATTTATTTATGTTTTTTTTAGAATAGGTTGGCATCTATAGAAACACAGGGTAGCCGCGGGGTCTTAAAAGTCTTTAAAAGGTCTTAAATTTCATGTTCTTAAATTAAGGCCATAAAAAGTCTTAAATTCTGTTGTGCAAGTCTTATTTTTTTCCACAAAGGTCTTATATTTCATTAGCCTATTTTTTTGTATACTCAACCAGGCTGCAATGCAATGTTAAATGGAGGGAGAGAAAAAAAAAAGTGAAATCATGTAACGTGAATGAATGAATACTTTAGTTTCTGGCGTTGGTGGCAATAAGAAAACAATCAGTACAGTGGAGGAAGACGTTGGATGGATCATGGGGAAGTGTAGGTTTAATCCACCGTGGCTCTTTGATACTAGATACAGTAGTTGGTTAGTCATTATTAGGACTGGATCTGGTGTTTTTCACCCACATAATGGGTGCAAATGTTGGTCTTAATTTTCATTTAAATGGTCTTAAAAAGGTCTTTAAAAAGTCTTAAATTTGGGGAAGTTGAACCTAGCCAGGCTGGCGCCACCTAGTGCCTCCGCTCAATTTCATTTCTCTCCAGTGACCAGGTCAGGAATCAAAATACAACAGACGGTTTGCAAAAAACCTGGAAGTGCAAGTTCGGGCACCAGCCAATCAGTGTTGTCAATGATTCCCAAGATAGAGGATTTAAAGACTGAATAAAGAGAATGTTTGGTGAATTTCATCAAGGGGCAAGATGTCCTTCTTCACTACGGGATTTGGGAAAAACTTAATATACCAGTTAGCCCGGTTAGTGGCGCATTACATACGTCAGGAACAAATAGCAGCGATCTTAAGGCTGTGAGGTCAGATGGTTTGTACGAAGTGAAACAAAGTAAAAACCGATTGATGAATCAGGCTAAGTCAAACCTGGGGATACCCTGACTCAGTAACATATTAGAAAGATCTTAGTCCATTTCTTTTCTGTCACTTTTTAAAAATCTTTATAAACAAAAAAAAAAAAAATGCAAGGTGGCTAAACTGGGAGCATTCACCAGACATTTCACCCATTAAAATAAATAAATTCAGGCAATACAGTGAAGTCAGGGGATCCATACAATTTTACGAAATACATGAGTCAAACAAAATTGGCACGAAAGGGGGATACAAACTGGATTAGTTTTTCCCAAATCTTATAGAATTTTTCCCTTTGGGTTCGTAGAGTGTATGTCAATTTTTCAATTTTGAATATCTCCAAAATGATCAAGAATCAGTCCTCAAGTGTTGGAGGGGTCGGATAAAGCCATTTCCTACATAGTTTACGCTTTTCCACTTTATTTCTGTAGCACGTTTTATAAACAAAGACTGTTTCCAAAGTGCTGCATATACAAAAATAAAAAAAAATCTACCATTTAATACAATAAAAACAACTGGGTAAAAACAAATAAATAAAACAGCGAAATAGACCCATAAGAATAAATAAACAAAATCAATAAAACAAAACAATAAAAAACAACAGGTATTGACTTTTTCCAGGCTGCTAAAAGCTCCTGTAATTGTTTTATATTTCCTCCTCTGTCCAAGATTGTGTTTATACCCAAATACACTGCTGAAAAGTCAAAAGGAAACTGCACCTTAAAAATATCGTTTAGAGTACAACAAACTGAAACTCTTCCACGTTTTCTAGGAATAGATTGGCAGGTTCGCCCTCCATCAAACTCTGAACGAAGCAGAGGCCTTCCCACCCACAACTTCAACAGATCTTTATCCAATGTTCTCATACTCCGAGGCAAAGATGTCTACAGCGCTGAAACAGGTAAAATCAATACAAGAAGTGATGTATAATTTTAACACTTTTTAACAGCTTTGCCAATATAATTCTTTTTTCCACAGGTAGTTTTGAAGAACCAGCTCTCTATACTTCCTGGTTGCCCTCAAATGCAGCTTTTAACGCGTGGAAGTCACCTGTGTCTTTCAATAAATATGAAAAATCGGCCACATTGGTTAGTAATAGCCAATCTCTGCTGCAGCCTTTGGATAACATAGTTGGAAAAGCCTGGAATATGTTTGCCTCCAGGTATGATATCCTTACAAAAGCAAAAGTACAGATACCTAAAAATGTATACTTTTTCTTTTTATTTCACTACATTTGAGAGCATGTACCTGTACTTTCTGCTCTACTACATTTTTGATCTGGACTGAAAAGTAAAAAAAGTACATTTCTTAATGGTGTGAGACCTTTTGAAAAAGCTGAGACTTACACTACCGTTCAAAAGTTTGGGGTCAAGTTTGGGGTTGTAAAATGAATAGAAAATATAGTCAAGACATTGACAAGGTTAGAAATAATGATTTGTATTTGAAATAATATTTTTTTTCCTTCAAACTTTGCTTTCGTCAAGAATCCTCCATTTGCAGCATTTTCAGCATTGCAGACCTTTAGTATTTAGCTGTTAATTTGTTGGTAATCTGGAGAAATTTCATCCCACATTTCTAGAAGCCCATCCCACAAATTGGATTGGCTGGATGGGCACTTCTTGCGTACCAAACCGTCAAGCTGCTCCCACAACAGCTCAATGGGGTTTAGAGCTAGTGACTGCGCTGGCCACTTCATTACAGATAGAATACCAGCTGCCTGCTTCTTCTCTAAATAATTCTTGCACAATTTGGAGGTGGGCTTTGGGTCATTGTCCTGTTGCAGGATGAAATTGGCTCCAATCAAGCACTGTCCACAGGGTATGGCATGGCATTGCAGAATGGAGTGATAGCCTTCCTTATTCAAAATCCCTTTTACCCTGAACAAATCTCCCATCTTACCAGCACCAAAGCAACCCCAGACCATCACATTACCCCCACCATGCTTGACAGATGGCGACTCTTCCAGCATCTTTTCAGTTGTTCTGCGTCTCACAAATGTTCTTCTGTGTGATCCAAACCCCTCAAACTTCGATTCGTCCGTCCATAACACTTTTTTCCAATCTTCCTCTGTCCATTTTCCCCATATTAATCTTTTTCTTTTATTGGCCAGTCTCAGATATGGCTTTTTCTTTGCCACTCTGCCCTGAAGGCCAGCATCCCTGAGTCGCCTCTTCACTGTAGATCTTGACACTGGTATTTTGTGGCTTCTATTTAATGAAGCTGCCAGTTGAGGACCTGTGAGGTGTCTATTTCTCAAACTACAGACTCTAATGTACTTATCTTCTTTCTTAGTTGTGCAGCCGGGCCTCCCACTTCTCTTTCTACTCTGGTTAGAGCCTGTTTGTGCTGTTCTATGAAGGGAGTAGTACACACCGTTGTAGGAAATCTTCAGTTTCTTGGTAATTTCTCGCATGGAATAGCCTTCATTTCTAAGAACAAGAATAGACTGTCGAGTTTTACATGAAAGTTCTCTTTTTCTGGCCACAAATGTGATGCTCCAGATACTCAACCTGCTCAATGGAAGGTCAGTTTTATAGCTTTTCTAACCAGCTAAACTGTTTTCAGCTGTCCTAACATGATTGCACAAGGGTTTTCTAATCATCCATTAGCCTTCTGACACAATGAGCAAACACATTGTACCACATTGTACCACTGAAAAACACTGCATTGTTAGATGCTGTAAATGGGCCTCTATACACCTATGTAGATATTGTACCAAAAACTAGACATTTGCAGCTAGAATAGTCATTTACCACATTAGCAATATATAGAGTGTATTTCTGATTAGTTTAAAGTTATCTTCATTTAAAAAAACAATGCTTTTCTTTCAAAAATGAGTAAATTTCTAAGTGCCCCCAAACTTTTGATCGGTAGTGTATTTTTAACACATTTAATTTGAGTTAACATTCCAATTTTTTAGCAAAATAAATACACAAAAACGACTAGATAAATTAAGAAATCATTTGAATCACTCAAAATCAGTTGCATGTTTCTGAAAAACACCACATGATGCAAAGTACTTTTACTTTTTACACTTAAAGTTACACATTCCTTACCTAAATCTTATTTTTTTTTTATCATTTATATTGAAATGAATGAAAATCTGTAGTCCAGGCAGTCTCCCATCCAAATACTAACCAGACTCGCACTTGTTTGGCTTCAGAGATAAGACGAGATTGGACATTCTCAAGTTGGTATGGCCGTAAGCAAAAGCAGACACCCCTAAATCCATATTTATAGATAGTAGATGGCATTTTTTCATCTAAATTCCTCTTTTATTACTATATAAATTGAAATGAGTCAAAAAGTTATCAAATTTGGTAGATTTTTTTCATGTGATACTTTTACTCGAGGAACCTTTTACCTTTGTATCTGTACTTTTACGAAACAAAATTGAGTACTTCGACCATTGCCTTACTTCATGCTTACTGCATGCAGTCATAGTTCCAACAAGAATTAATATTATGCTTGCATTTTTTTGACAGGGCCTACGTACATCAATACACCAAATATGGGATCACAGAGGAAGACTTTTTAGACAGCTTCACGTCGTTGGAGCAGGTCATCTCAAGCTATCGTCATCTTTGTTAGCAGCAGTACTGTACACTCGTAAAATATGTAAATATGACTACAAAAATGTAATTGTTGAAATAATACACAGAAACATTCATACGTTTCATGGTTTTATTATGACTTAAGACAAAACAAAGTAAAATGGTTATACCTCGTTCAAAAAGTGTATTTCTGTGCAGTGATCGTCCCAAAACTTCAGCCAGCTTATAGACCGCTGTTGCCATAGTAATAAAACAGCCAACACCAGTCAGATAAGCTAGCTGACAGGGTGGGAAAAGGTGAAGCATAGGGAGAGTTTTACTATTTCTTTCATTTTGTATTCCTGCAGTGTTGAGGTCTTGATGCAGGGAGGATCTTGTGAAGGCGAAGGCTCAGCTCCGGTCCAAAATAGATGAAATGATTCAGATTTTCACTTACCGTAAAGATGACTTTCTCTGAGGAAACGGACATGGCAGGTTGATTATAAAGGAACATTGCAAGTTAAGAAAAGACCAAATGAGACATAAAAGCAAGTGTCAAGATTTACACTTTATGAGCTTATCCAAGTTTGAACCTACTGTACAGAAGAGAAATGGAACAAGTGAGCGTAGTACAATATCACTTTACAAATGATATCACGTTTTCTCTTTTGGTTGGTTTATATTACACAGAACAGTTGAATAGAAATACATCTGCTCAAACTGTCAAAAAGATTAAGATATTTACACAATGTGCAAACTGTCAATACCACACTTCTGAATTTGATATTGCTATTTTCCCCCATTTAAATGCAAAGAGACGTTGGTCTTGCTGTTTTAAGAACAAATGAGGACAAAGGAACTCTGAAACAACCATACATAGCAATTATCCTGGCAACACACTGTACACGATCCATCCACACTTCAATGTTACAAAATTAAATAAAAATCAAGTCTGTAAGTGAACAGTTAGAATCTGGGGAAGTTTGACCTTCCCATCTTGCATAAGGCATAGCATCTGAAGGGCACTGCCCATACCCAGCAGTCACCAACCCAACCGCTGCTTTACACGTGAGGTCAATAAATGGATTAAATTAAAGTAACATATTAAGATCAGCAGTAGAACCAATCGCACTACACAAACCTACACTGAGATGAGAGGAAGAGCTATAAAACCTGAAAGACATACAGTACACGTCCATCACACGTCCATCACACATCCGTCCTGTGAAACACACACTCAGCAGTGCCTGGTTTGAGTCCAGCCCCAGACGGAGGAGGAGGAGAATGAGGTTCGTTCTTCAGTGTCTGAGGCTGGAGGAGAGACAAAGTCCACTACAGTCATGCTCTCATCACTTGGTCTTCTCCTCTGAGTGTCTCTGCTGCTGCAGCCTCTTGGCATAGCTCTGGGCCATGGAGTTAACAATGGAGATGACAAAGTAGCACACCATGATCAGCACCACTTTCTCAAAAATCCACGAGAGCCAGTTCTCATCCTGAAAGGCAGGAGTGAGAGGGTTAAGTCAGACAAGACCCTTGTTACTGTTGTAACAATCTATATATAGGATAGGATAACCAGCCTTTTCTCTTGGTTCTGAATACACATGATTAGCATTAATATCAAATAACTCCTGGCAGGTGTATCACATTTTGTTTGTAAATTACATTTCCATTATTATAAATACACTTTTTAAAAACTGAGCTGAAATTTTTTATTCCTTTCTTCTCTTTGCAAACTGAATTTAAAGTTGCATACAGATTAAGACTTGTAAATCTTAGATAATTTGTGTAGATAAAAAATGTAATGAAAATAAAAGACTGTTAATATACTTACAGCTGGGGCCTTTCCTCCAGCATGGTGCAGCTTGTTCCTCTGGGCTTCCAGGTACTGACTGAAAGGCTTCTGGAGTGAAGGTCCAACTTTGGGCACAGACCTATAATAAAAATCACAAAAACATAAAAATTACTCACCTCGCCCATTCACCTGGAAGAGAAGCATGTGAACACTGTGAGAGTCCTCCTCCAGTAGCTCAGAGCTCCTGTGCTGTTGAGCAGCACACACCAATGAAACACAAAGGCCACAGTTCTCCTTTTATACTCCTCGCCCTGAGTAGAGGCCTATGTCAGCCTCTCTACCAGGAAGTGAGTCGCCATGATGTCACCACCTTTACCACTACTGCAGCCTTCAGGGTGGAATCGCAGCTTATCAGGCCTTTTTTAGGCAGCTACAGGAGGGATGTACTCACATGGGTGCTAAGCTTTAGTAATTGTTTATTTTAAATTGTATCATCTCCCACCAAAACATAACACTTTGCTGCTTAAAAATTAACATCATACAACATGTCCTGACATTACTAAGTACAAATAAAAATGCTAAACTAATTTATGAAAAAGAAAATTCAAGAGTTATATTTTGAAAGTAAATTTGATTAATTTTTTTAATTGGTTTAACTAACTGCTATTTTTCTGCCCCAAATATGAACAAAAGCTGCACTTAGACCACCGTCTTACATCACCAAAAAGATAATGTAAAACTGAATTTGGATATTGTCACTGAGGGATCCTGTGCATGGCGGTGGTGAATCATCAAGACCACTGCATAATTCATGAGCACCGGGCTTTTACATTAATTATGTGGACAATAAAACAGATGCAAAGGAAATGCATTGCTTTCATGATATCGTACGTGACCTTTAGGAAACAAACCAGCATCACTGTATGAAGTGAGCTGCGGCAGAATCCGTTACATGCGAACAAGGACAAACTGTCTCGGATTTTAATGGCATTCTTTGGGGTAAGGCTGATACCAGTGAGTCACATCATGAAAGTTTGAATGGGACCTCACATGCCTGACCACTAATGCAGGAGATTGATTGCATATGCGAGTTTAAGAAATACCTCCATGGGAAAAATGCCGCACGATCCCCCACAGTGAGATATTCAGTCATAGATCCCAATCAGCAGCGCAAATTTACATAAACAAAGGCATTTAACCACAAAAAAAAAAAAAAAAAAAAAACATACCCAATGAGTGACACCATCTGCTCCACTATGTGCTTGCTGAAAGTGATGATGACAAAAAGTTTCTGTAGAAAGATAAAATATATAAACATATTTCATTAAAAAATATACATTGAATTTGTACGCTCTAAAATTACCTATAATATATATATTTTTAAATAATAAAACTTGGGCTGGGTGGTATATTTTCGCTCATATTGTTTGATCTAGATATTATGCAATGTCATATTCTCTTATTTATAAAACATAACATTAACAATACAGACTTTTCAAACTGCCATTTTACACAAAAAAGTCCAAAAAGTTCTTCCACCAGAGTCCGAGCTCCACAACAAAAGCTTTTACTAAGAGGACTGGCTGTTCTTAATTAAAAAGACCTCGATCATTCATGATTAGCAATAACTGAATCTTGATCAATTAAAATTTCACAACACAGCTTCTATTAAAACTGAAATAAACCATTTTCTATCCAAGCCTCCGTGGCAGCTCTGCCTTTGAGGATTTGAGTTCTACGATAATTATTTCAAATTAAAAGGAGCCCCGGGATACTAAACTTTTTTGTGGCATTTATAAAACTTAAGAGTAACTCATAATTACTCTTGTATTTGAGGAAACATTAAACAAAATCATGACACATGGACAAATTCAGACAGGACATGACACGTAATATCCAACGGCTTTCAAGACCGTGTGAGACAAAGGGTTCCCCCCCTACAGCCTCCCTTTAGTCTGTTTCATTTCCTCCTCAGACTTCTCCTGTCCAATCTCCATCCACATGACCCTCTGCTCTCACGGGCCTCACTGAGATCATGGGCTGGTACCACCAACAGAAGATTGTTTTAGTGTGTGCGATTCAGACACAGCGCTCAGACAAGTTTACATTAGTCATTGGTGGGACAGACTCAACAATCTACAGAATTTGAAACGGGGTTTCAATTAAGTCCAAAAAGAACAAACAAAGCCTTTCATACATTAGGGACTGTACTTTGAGGAGTCTGCTCATAATACTGGTTTCAGTGATGCCTTGCCTTTCGTGCCAAATGCAGACAAACCTGTATGTGCATCTTGATAATGGCCTTTCCAATCAAGGTGGCTCCAAAGAAGGTCCAGAAAGGGACCAGGAAATGCCCACATGTTATTCCAGCCAGGTCAAAAAGAGGATTAGGGATCTACAACACAAACTAAAGATTAGTACAATGAATAGTACCATTTTAAAAGAAGCTTGCATAGTTGTACTTACACTGGCACAAGCCAGAATGCCAAAGAACCCCACTTTCTGGACCATGTGTTGGACACCAAGTTTAGCTCTTGTGACAAAATCCTGCAAGAGAGACGTTTTATATTGAAAACAATATTCCTTCATATCGTCTTCCACAATCAAACTCAATGCATTTGTCACATGGTTATTTTATAGATTAAAACAAACTATGCTATAGCTGTACTTGTGTAGATTCTCTGAGGCCTATTACATTATATTATATTTTAGGCTGATGAATGTAGTGAAAGTGTCAAAGGCTCGAGGTCCCAGATTTCTTTGATCCTATCTTCATCTCATGGGCGCAGAAATGGTTTTCTGTGGTTACACAGACAGATGACAGGCTAAGATCTATGTAGATAAAAGGGGAGATTAAAAAAGAAAGACTTCACCAATATCATTTCAAGTAAGCAATTAAATTTAAGTGCTGTCAGAGGTTACAAGTAAGAAGAAATAAAAATGATCCACCGCATCTTGACTATGTGACATTTCCTGGTCTACAAATTCAGATTTTCATATTTCAGTTGAAAATATTCATTGAATGTCTTGAGTTAAGACATGATTATAGGTGACCAAACGGGTCTAATCCTTTGATAATCGGGGAAGTGAGAGAAGGTGAAAGAACA